AGTAAGTTGTGTTTTATTGAGAATTCACCTTGTTTTTTTTTTTTTTTACACTAACTCTGCTTTTGGCCCAGAGTAAAAGGGGAGACAATCAAACCTTGTGCTATCAGGGCACACTGGTGACAGCCACAACAAGGCCATGGGTGTAGCTAATTCTTCCATTCACCCCTGGGCCCTGAAGTGGTTAATAGCTTCCAAAAGTTCCTTTCTTCTAAATGGGGAATGGCTTTTCTGCCAGGAGACTCTGACGCAAGGCTAGGTTCATGGAACATGTTGATTTTCATACCACTTCAAATGGAGCCTAAATCAGCTGTCAGATATTTACAGGCAATTTTCCTCATTACACAGAACTCTCTGTGATTATTATACTTGGGCAATGCTTGCATTTATTTGCACATAAGCATGTCAAGGTAGGGGGGAAGGTTCCTTGCGCTGTGCCAGGAATATGTCAAGGCACTCCAGTGTTACTCAAGACAGGATGGGATGAAGTGTCTGGCTTTTCCCCAGAGCTTGTCATCACCCTTGCTCAGGTATCTAGGCTTCGTATTTTCTCCCTGCAGACTTCCTTTTATATACCTCATACCAAAAAGGCAGAATTCTACCCATGCTATTTAATAACCACTGTGAGTTCTCCAGACTCACCCCTGTGCATTTTGCAAGGAGCTCGGGAAAATGCTGTGTTCAGGTGATAGGAATGCAAAGTGAAATGAACTGAAAAAGACTCCTCCCAACCAAAACACGTGTGACCAGGTACCCGGACAGATGACAAACAGCTCTAGGAAGGACAAATCTTTAAAGGGGCGGGGTGTGTCCGTCTTGAGGTTTTGGGGAATGTGTTAATGAGAACAAATGATGAAAATGTCTGTGACAGCTCATCTTTTGTGAGTTGTGAGACCTCAAGTCGGCAAAAGAGAGGGTGGGTTTCCCAAACCACTTGAATTCATGTCATTAGAGGGCAAAGTTAATATAAGTACAGATGCATAATCTAATGATGCAGTGTGTAGAGTCTCACCTTTGCAGCCAACAGACTCCAGTTAAAATCTTGGATCTGTCACCAACTATTTATATGACCTTCAAAAAGCTTCATAACCTTTGAGTCTCAGGCTCGTCATCTAAACCATAAGAAACTAGCTTCCCCAATTCACAGGTGGTTTTGAGGATTAAGAAAATTCTCCTAAGTAAAAATAGACTAATAAGATGGCTAGCTTCATTTGATCAACTCAACAAAGTACATGACAATTGTAGTCACATCTATTGTGGGAGGTGAGTGCATGCTCTGTCCACAAAGGGCAGTTTTGGCTGCTTTCTAATCTTAAATATGGAGGAAAATAGAGTTTGTATAAGGATATGATATGGTTGTGCTTGTAGAATACTTGACACAATCTCTGATACATGGCTATAAGTATTAGCTGTCACTATCAGCACGGGACACAACACCACCCTCTACCATCCCCCTTTATGCCATAAATAGCTGTAACTACCTGGTCCATGTGGCCAGGGCACACTGGAGCTTTTTATCTAATCCATCTCTCTCTACCAATCAGTCCATGCCATGCTGGGATTTAATGAGTGCTTAATAAAATCTTGTTGGAGATTGAGTGAATAAATACATAAAGTGCTTGTCGCTTAGGAGATAGTAACATAAGTGCTTTCTCCTTTCTGACATCAGCTTCCCTTTCACTGATTTGAATGGCAGAAAATACCCTCTCAACTTGTCATACTGTATATTTTTGGAGAAAGGAAAAATGAACCACTTCCATGAACAGTGAAAGAGTTTAGTGAAAGAGAATTTAAAACCAACAATCTGGTCGATTCTGAGGGTATAAATTAAGCTAGTTTAAGCAGCCTTAATCCAGGGTATTGGCAAGACAACTATCAGACTCTAGCAGTTACATTTTTTCATTCTTCTCTAAGGTTGGGGCATAAAATTTTAACCCAAAACATCAGAGGTTAAAAAAAAGCATGGTAACAACAAAATAATGCTAAATAGTTCAGCGTGGATTGGAACCAAAGAGGTAGGGGAGTGACTGTCAGCCGCATCTAGGTCCTATATTGCTAACAGATGGTGAACATTTTCATGGGCTTGGGACTAGTTTAGATCAGAGTGAAAATCCTCTGCTCTCTCTCCCCCCAAGAGGCTCTAATTAGTACACAGGACATTAGATCAAGTTAAAAAGCTGGGCTGACATCTTATTTGTTAGTTTTAGATTGAACTCGTGCCTTGCGGTGACTGAATTTGCTTGTTGAAATGCACACATACACACACATGTGCAAGTATACACACACACACACACACACACACACACACACTGAAAGAGTAACTTTCCTTTCTATGGGGATCAAAATAAAGATTTTCAAAGTCCTCTGCAAAAGGGCTCCAAAGATTTGTTGGATATCAAATAGCTCCTTCAAGACAACATTTTGATGAGTTAAGTGTAAATGAATCAGAAACATATGGATTAAGTTCCTCTTGAAATACACAGGGGCTTAAAAATCAAAGAGGAAGCAGTGCCTGGCCCGGGTCTCATAGGTTGTGCCAAACCCAACACATCTGAGCAGCAGTTCAAGATATTTGAGGGATCCAAGGACAGGGCTGGCCTGACCCATGCCTTGTTCCTACCGTATTGAAATGGAGAACATAAGTAATGGCATTTATTCTGCATTATTACTAAAAATTCCTTCTTCCTTGTGGTTTGAAAATTAACAAAACCAAGACCTACAAGAGAAAACCCTATAAATGGTGTCTGTAGCACAGAAAACTCTCCAGAGACTAAATGATTGAGTTCAAAATGTTCTCAGACAGAGTTGCTGTGTTACTGTCTGACAATGCAACAAAATGGGCCATTGGGCTGGCACCAAAGTCTGTTAAACAGTGGTAGACTTGAGATTTGCACTTGAGAAGTTTTCCACAATATTGCCAGAAAGGATGTATGGGAATAAAGAATAATTATTTCTGAAGATGTCATACATTAATCAGCATTTCTAATCACTCCTCTTATTTGCTATAGATAGTGGATTTTAAGAACTTCTAATTAGTTAATCAGTAAATTGGAAAAGTGGGAAACTTACATTTGAATCTCATCACAGGAGACACAAGCTCTGAATAGATTTGATCAGTTAAACACATAAATGTTGTCTAATTTTAATTTAGGAAGCTTTTATAATTAGCCTACTTTTATCACTTTTGATAAATAATTAAATCTTAGAGTTAACTACTTCGAAAATTTACCAACCTCATGTTGACCAGCCATGTAACTAAATCCAAATATAGGCAAACTAATATTGATTTACACATCTACTTGGGAGATATAAACTCAATTTATATTATTGTGTGCATAGTTCATCTTAAATGTATAATCTTTTACTATAAATAATACATCTTTAGAGAAAATTTAGAAAATACAGAGAAAGCAAAATATTGGAAGAAAAAGCAGTAATTATATCATCAAAAAATAACAACTTCTAATGCTAAGGTGTTTTTGTCTATAAACAAAATGGAAATATTGTAAATACAGTCTGTCCTCTGTATTTCTAGATTCCATATCCTCAGATACAGCCAGGTGGAGATAGAAAATATTTGGAAAAATAACTGCATCTTACTGAACATGCCCAAAGCTTTTGTCTTTATCACTATTCCCTAAATAACACACTAAGCAACCATTTACATAGCATTTACATTGTATTAGGCATTATAAGTGATTTGGCCATGACTAAAGTGTTCAGGAAGATGTCCAAAAGTTATCAGCCAACCATATGCCATTTTATGTGAAGGTCTTGAGAACCTATGGATTTTGATATTCATAGGGGTCTTGGAATGAATTCCCCATTAGTACTGAGGGATGACTGTAGTATTTTGTGCAAATAGCACATACAAACATAATTTTGAATTACTAAACATATTGCTACCTTATCGCTGAAGATACCGTGAACTTCCGTCAATCTATTCCAGCTTATTTAACCAGCTATTTGTTAGGTAATTTGGCTACCCTAAACCAAACTGATATGAATATACTTCATGGTTAGTTGTAATGTTTGCCTTAAATTCCCAGGAGTGGAATTTATGGGTAAAAATATTTTTACAATGTAAAATTTCTTAATATGCATTAGTAAATTTTCCTTAATGAGCTGCCCTGCATGAAGATGATAACTATTTTTTCAGTTGGTCAAATCACATCCAGAAGAGCAGTCACGGTGAGATCTCCTTTGAGAGTAGTTACATATAAGTGACTCCTCTACCCCTAGTCAAGCAGCACTTGTCTTTGTACCATCTAAAGGGGAAAAAGGCAGCTCCTTTATTTAATTTGCCCCTCATCGACACTAGTGAATTTGAACGTGAATCCTGTTTATTTGGCACTATCATCTCTTATTTGTGCACATACTGTGTTTTCTTTTAACTATTGTGTGTACTTCACTTTGATTTGTAGGTCTCCTCTACATTCTAATGTATTGATACTTGGTCACAAAGGTTGCAATGTTGTTTGTGACACTTACAGACTTCTAAAATTTTCATTGTAATACTTCCCTTGGTCTTTTCATTACATGTCCTAATTTTGCTGTTGATTTTTAATGACCTTTCCAAGCTCTAAATTATATAAATATTGTCTCATATACTTATTGGTTCTTTAATGCTTTGTATGCTGAACTTTTAAAAAAGTCATTCACTTATTGTGGAAAATAGTATATTAAAGATGCATGTTAACTAATTAGTTAATTCAGCAAATACTTGCTAATGTTTTTGATATTTATGAAGATAGTGGGTCTACAGTGATAAGTCCTGAAGCTCAGGAGCTGTGGTGGACAGATTCTAACATGGGCCCCATGCTGTAGCCTCTGGAGTTCATATATGTTTGTAATTTCATTCCATTAAGTGTGGTGAGACACATGATTTGCCTCTAACTCATAGACTACGACAAAGGTGATGAGTAATCACTCCCACATTATATTGTGTGATGTTATGTCAGATTGTGTCATGTGAGATAGACTCTTCCTGGCTCTAGGAAGCCAGCCACTATACCAGAAAGTCCCTTGGCAGGGGATTGAAGGAAGTCTTTTTTGCTGGGGAAAGCCTCCAGTGGATAACAGCAAGGAGCTGGTCTTCAGTCCTCCACTCCAAGAAAGTGAATCTGCCAACTTTCAAGAGGTTGGAAGAGGATTCATCTCCAGTTGAGCCTCCAAGTAAGAACAAAGTCCAATGATAATCTTATTTGAAACTTTGTGAGACTTTCACAGAGCATCCAGCTAAACTGTGACCAGACTTTTGACCCGGTGAATCTATGAGGTAAGAAATGTGTGTTGTTTGAAGTTGTGAAGTGTGCGGCAAGTTGTTACGTAGTTATAAATAATGAATAAACCAGGTATTATTTTTAAAAACTCTGTTCTTTCTTTCTGGAATTCATAAATTGGAAAATAATTTTTCCAAGTCACTAAACCCCAGAGATATTCAAATAACCAAATAGTCCTAAAGTGATTGTTTAATAATTGCACAGTAAAGCATTCCACTTTAATCTTGAAGAACATTCATAGACACATTGTGTATGGTGTGCTGATGCTCTCCACTGAAATAAAAAAGGTAAAATTGTTGCTGCCACTATGGCCAAATGGCAAACATAAACAACAGGTGCTGGTCCTAAGAAAACTTCCTTCAAAACTTAGTTTCTTTCAAGCTTAAAAAAAACTCACAAATTTAATGGTAACGATTTTTGAGTACAGATTGAGATATTCCAAATGCCCAGTTAAAAACAAAGAAGTTGAAGAAGAAATATAAATAGATCAAGCATTTTGTATTATTCAGCTTTCTCAATTCTGGAACCAAATATCCAACAACCACAGAAAGAAAGAGAGTTTTAATGTAGCTTATGTTTTCTGAGGATTTAGTCCGTAGTCTGTGAACTCCACAGCAGAAACACCATGGAAGAAAGGCATAATAGAGCAAAGATGTTTAGTTCATGGTAGTGGGGAAGTAGAGAAAGGAAACAGCCAGGGAGGAAAAGATAAGAGTCTAGAGATAGACTCCCAAGGCCAGGGCCCCATGCCTCATGCTCATACTCCCAGAAGTTTCTCCCACCAATCCCCTGGGCAGATTACAAAGCCAATCAAGTTGACACTCCAGCCTAATTGCTACTTTTTGTTACTAGTTTCTCCTCAAAAGAGTCGGGTCACTTCCTTTTAGAAGTACTTCTGAGTAAATGAAAAGTTATATGTAAATGATAGAGCTTGTATTATCTTATTATTTGTGGTTCTGAATATTGAACCCGGAGCCTCATTCATACTTGGCAAATCCTATACCCTCAGGCCAATTTAAAAGAATCATTTTAATAAACTTTATTTGTAAGACGATTTAGGTTCACATCAAAATTGAAGAGAAGGTACGGAGATTCCCCACTCAACCTTGTCTCCACACAGGCTCAGCCTCTCACACTGATGACATTCTTCATCAGAGTGGTACATGTGGTACAACAGAATGAATCTGAACTGACATATCATTATCACCCAAAGTCCATAGTTTACATTACAGTTCACTCTTGGTGTTGTACATTATAAGGGTTTGGACAAATGTGTAAAGACATGTATCTGTCATTGTAGTGTAATACAGAAGTTTTACTTTCCAAAGAAATCCTCTTTGATCCACTTACTCATATTCATCCCTGCCTCTGCTAACTCTGGCAACCGCTTTTCTTTACACAATCTTCATAGTTTTGCATTTGTCAGAATGTCACATAGTTGGAATCACAGTACATAGCCTGTTCAGATTATCTTCTTTCACTAAGCAATATGCATTTAAAGTTTTTCCTCATTTCTCCTGGCTTGATAGCTAATTTCTCTTTAGCACTGAATAACATTCCACTGTCAGAATGTACCATAGTACATTATACAATATAGCCATGCACATACTAAAGGATGTCTCGGTTGCTTCCAAGTTTGGAAATTATAAATAAAGTTGTTATGAATTATAAACATCTAATGTACAGGCTTTTGTGAGGGCATACACTTTCAACTCATTAGGTAAATGTCAAGGATCACAATTGCTGGATTCTATGGAAGAGATATGTTTAGTTGGAAGAAACTGTCATACTGTCTTCCAAAATGACTGTGCCAGAGAGAGAGAGGGAGGGAGGGTGAGAGAGGAAGAAGGAGGAGGAGGAAGAGGAGGTGGAGGAGGACAGGAAGAAGGGGAAGGGGAAACGAAGAAAGGGCAAGAGCAAGAGGTAGAAGAAGACAGGAGAGGAGAGGAGAGGAGAGGAGAGGAGAGATATAGAGTTCCAGATAGAACCAATACTCCTGGATTATAATTTTAGAGGTATAGTATGTTTTATTATACTTCACATCTGATGTGCTAAGCTACTGAAAGTTTGTTTCTTTTTAAAGGTTTCTTGGCTACCTTATCATATTTATTTTTCTAGTCCTTTTGTCAAGACCCACTCTGCCTCAAAACATCTCTTTGGGAATTTTATTTCAATTTTTATTTAAATTTATGAAGTAACTTGGGAAGAATTGACATCTTTACAATACTAAGTCTTCCCTTTAAGGGATATAGTATGTATTTCTAGTGCTTTAAATATATATTTTATTTTCTCTTTAAATTTCTGTAAAGGTGCCACAGGTCAGGCACAGTGCTTGATAAACTCCTAGTTATTATATACTTTTTTATTTTTACAATTGCCAAGAGGGTCTGTGTACACAGATATACACAGACGCACAAACACACATTCACACATATAAGTACATTATTGTGTTGGGATATGAATAAGCTTTTAATTTTCACATGTTTATTTGTAATGAGAAGCTATAATAAGTTCTTATTCACTTTAATAGAGTTTTAGAATAATATATGCATATATTAGAAAAATAATATATAACAATATATTTCATTTTTATTTATTTTATTCATGAACCTAATTCTTATTTTTTAACTCATTAAATTTGCCTGAACTCTTAAAGAATTTGAAAGCAGAAGTGTTAGTAAAGGGCATGCTTTTTATATTATACTTTTAGTGAGAATATTTCTTTTTTACTGTCTCATATAATGTCTGCTCCTGGGTTTGTTTGAGATGAGTATTATTTGTTATGTTTGGGAAATATTCTCTTCACGAAGGATTTTTCAGGGGTTTCACTTTGTTCTTTCTTTTTAACCAATAGTGGAAGCTGAATTACATCAAATATCTTGGAAAACACATTAATGGTAGTGATAATTACAATTGTTATCTCACACTCTGAGAGGCCTGTTGTCCCTCTTTTTTGTCTCTCTTCTTTGGCCTAACTCAGTGATTTAGCCCCAAGCCATGTGGCTGAGGTCTCTCAGTTTAAGGCATTGGGAGCAAATGCAGTCTTTTTAAATCATGTCTCCAAGATATTTTGCAACAGTACTAGAATATGGCTTCTTAATGGGTATTTCACACACTCTATGAGTCAGATCCTCTTATATCTAGAAGATAATCAGTTAAAGACTCGAAACAACCTCCGAAAAACTGGCCCTTCATGCCAGCTTAGCAGGGATGTGGACAATGACAGACATTAGGGGCAGCAAAATGAGGGTCCACTAAGGGAGGAGGATTTGTTGGAGTTCTGCTGTTATTTCAAACTTCTGAATTTACCTTCCTTAGACCTATCTTCTTCTTCTATCTACAGTTGATCATCTGATCAGACAGAGAACAAAACCTGTAGTTGTGCACACTTATTAGGTGGAGGAAGTAATATGTGTGTGGTGTGTGCAGAGGCCTAGTGCTGGACAGCCAAGGCTAGTCAATGGCTATGTGGTCGCTGTGCAGCAAAAAGCCATTGCAAGCTTACTTTTACCACTTCCTTGTTTTTTATGGTTAAGTGGGTCATGACTGAGAGGCCATCTGTTTTTCAACTTCTTTTCAACCAATGTGTATTCATCTGTCTTTCTGCCTCATGTCTTCCTCCTAGCACATGAAGGTCACAGTTTTGCAGTGTGGTAAAGCCAAAGTTTGAGTCCAAATTTTACTGACAACAACTTTCCTCAATAGTAATATTCAATACTGGTATTTTTTCCTGTCATTTTTGATCTATTTCTCTCAGGAGAGGTGCTATGAATGTGCCTATGCACACCATTTGAAGGAAGTGGTACATCTAATGTCTTTGCTTTTTTGATATTTTTTCCCCCAATGGAAATCTACTTTAAAAAGAAATGCTGTTTAGCAACTTGTTCCTGCTTTGGTTTTGTTTATATTTTCTAGGTTGCAGAGCACTGTTCAGTCTTAGTTTTAAACTTCCTGAGTTTCTTTATGTATGGATTACTCTTGAATACATTGTAGAGCATCCATTGCTGATTCTCTCCTTTTCACTCTCTTTCCTCTAATATGAGTCTATACCTTTTAATAAGGAAGTTTAGCCTATTTACATTTATTTCCATGTCTAATCAACATGATCATTTGTCACCTGTTTTATGTCTTGGATTTGATTTTTTTCTCACTGTTTCCTGTGAAATCTGTATATGGTAACAGTAGGATGGCAGAAGTATCACATATCTCATTGCTTCCTATCAGGTGATTAGTTTTGATTTTTTCCTATTGCTGAGAACTTGATTTTGGTCATTTTATTAAGTCAACATCTTGTAATCTTTTCCATTATAAAGTCACACTTTTCCTATTTATATTTAGGAAGTATTTTATATAAGGACTAGAGGTATAGATCAGTGAGAGAGTATTTGCTGAGCATGAGCAAGGCACAAAACATGTACTTTATAGGAAGATGAAATTATGTATTCTTCATCAAACATCAATTATTTTTAATATTTCCATGGACTCACAGTTTCTCATTTTCTTCAGTGGATTATAATCTATTATTATTTTCATTTATGTTAATGCTCTAATTTTCCCCTCACTTTGATGTGGGAGTTCTCTTAGAAAGGCGCAGGTATCCTTTTGATCTGTCTCTGTAGTTTCTGGCTCCTTTAGAAGTTCCAGACTTACCTCCTACCTTCCTTGATCTACTTCTGAATTGAGCAGGGAAAGAGTTCTTTCGGTGGAGAATAGTATTTATAAACCAAGATACGGATATGCAGTGTGCTAATCACTATTGGAATATTGCTGCTCCCAAACTTAATTGTTGGACAAAGCTGGGAAAAGTATGCATCCATGTGCATATGTGAGTGCACGTGCGCACACACACACGCGCACACACACACATTTTAAATCAGTAGTGCCAGGATTTAGACATCCATCCTTTGCATGGAACAGAAAAACTTTGGAAGCATTAAGTTTTGGCAGCATTAATTATTGGGAAGTATGACTTGGAAAAGAGCCAACTTGATTTTAGGACCAACTATTCTGGGATGCTTGAGGCTTCACCAGGGGTATATGGAATGAATGCACTTGGAGAGTCAATGGAATTGAAAAATGCAATGTATGCTGTGGACACCCAAGTTAAGAAACAGAATGTAGAGGGAATGCATAATCAGATAAAGTTAACTACTTGAAAGGGCAGGCAGTAGAGATCCTGTAGGGAAAAAAAGATCATATGAAATGAAACAGAAATAATACAGAGAGATAGAAGAACACTTTTCTGACCAACAGAAAGACCCAAGTTTGGGTATTAACCAACTAGATATAGTACATATAAACCAGTGCTTAGAAATCCAAGTTTTTCAACTATTACTACTATTACACCTACTGTGACTATTACTAAGAAGAACTAGATAAGTATACTTCTGAATGTACATGTCTCTACCTCATCTCAGGACCATCCTTTGGCCTTGAAACTAGGAAAATTGTGGGGGTCCATTATCTCCTCTGTTGTCTTTTTAGGGAGCCATATTGCTTTCTTGGCTTTCTGAGGAGGTGTCTCACATCAGCCTGTCCTTCACAAACATTATCCCATCTGTAAAACATCTGCTAGAAATTTTTGGAATTTTCCATCATTTGCAAGGAAACTTTTTCCTAATTTATGACATTTGGGCATGTTTGATGATTATGAGGATGACTTTACTTTTCCCTCATTGTAGAAGTCCTTTGATAAATTTTGCTTTGGAATCGGAAAGGGAAGGGTCAAAGATCTTCTCTGAAATCATCAAATTTTGCAGGAATCTATTTAATCTTTGGACTATATTTCCTTTAAATTGCTCTAATAATATGAAGGAAATGGCACTGCCAAGACATCTAATAATAGATTAACGTGAAGTTTGCTCTTCTTGTAATATCTTTCTCAAAATGAATTGGCACAGATAATGGCCTACTTGTAAGGAATTCCTCCTTGATATCCCATGAAAAATAAACACTGGTCACTGGTTCTCTGGGTGCAGCTTCCTCATTGTGAGCCTGGGGCTTCTAAATAAGGACTCTTGCTTTACCTCTATCCACTCAGTATGGAAGATTTTAAACATTTTTAAAATTTCCAAGGTATCAATGGCAGTTTCATGTTTATACAATATATATGATCTTCTTTTAAAAGCTCTGAAAAGTTTTGCTATTTTTTAAGCAACGCTTTTGTGGCTAATGGGACATTGTTAGAAATTTAACGTAGGATTTGACATGGAGACCAAAAGATCAAATTCTGATAGGAAAAGTCCACCAGGACAGCAAAACTCTTAAAGATTATGCATTCTTGTGAAAATCCAGATAAACATATGAACTTCAAAAAAGAGAATATTTTCTAAATATGATTTTCTTTCAGTTTTTAAAATCGTTTGTATTAATATGTTTGCTGTATGTAATGTTTGCACTCCTTGTGTGGAGTTGGTACGTGTACATAACACATCTTAATTTCCTTTTTCATCCCCTTTCCCTCCTGCCCCTCACTGCCTCCCACCTTCTAAGGAAAAAAAATTAAGTTCCAGTTTCTCTTTCAAGAGGAGTATGCAAAAGAAATTTCTAGAGTTTTCAGATGTTACTGTAGCATTAACTCATTAAAGTATCATGATTATAGAAAATTCATCACACCAAGGATCTAAAAACTTGGTTATGAGACTCATTCATGAAGTGCTAGTTAGCTAAATTTATAAAATATACAATCTATGCCTCAATTTACTAATCTGAATAATAAAATAACTTTATCTATTCTGTCTTATCCACAGGATTGTTTTCCTCATCAGATATAATCATGGAAGTGAAGATTTTTTGTAAATTAAAAAAAAACAACAACTGCCCAAGTGAATAGTCTTACTTTGCTTCTATAATTGTCTTTGGCTGTTAGTAAGCTTCATTCCATGACTTAGAACAGATTTCAGCTTTTGGGACTAAACTCAATTCTGCAGTTTCTTGAATGGTAGATTACAGCCAAAGAATTTGCTTTCATCTAATGAACAGAAAACTATAAAGTAAAAATTCATAAGGGAGGATAGGAAATAATATTAGAGTTAGTATTAGAATACAAAGTTATAGAAATCTAAGAACTAAACGAATTTTGGAAATGATCTAGGCCAGCAGTTTAAATATTTTTAACTCAATAAAAGTTTATTCAAATAAAATTCACACAGAGGCCTACTATGTGAAATAAAAAACACCAGCTTTTCTCTGCCCAAGAAATAGGCCCAGAGCCACCCTCCCTGTTTTTCTGGGCTCTGTGAAAGGGCTCCATTTGGAAGCCATCAATCTCCTTCAATACATTTTATTTAGCCAGAGGAGGTGGCACAGATTTGTAAACTCAGCATTCTGGGAGGGAGACTGAGGCAGGAGGATCACAAGTTTCAGGTCAGCCAGGGCAATGGAGTGACTGAGACCCTCTATCAAAACAAAACAAGACAAAATTTAAAAAGGACTGGGGATAAAGCTTAGTGCAAAATCCTGGATTCAATTCTGAAGACGGAAAAAAAGAAAAAGAAAGAGAGGGAGAGAGAGAGAGAGAGAGGGAGAGAGAGAGGGCCAATTTTGGGCATGAGCTCCTTGTTCAAAGTATGCTTTAACACAGAAGAATAATGTCAAAAACACACACAAGGGGCCATGCTCAAAGTGAAGGCATTTTGAAGTATGGAGGCATTTTGGGGTCCTAAAGCCCATTTCCCTGCCTTTTGGTGGCATTAAGAAGAGGAACTCTATAAGGCACAGTTTGGAAACCATTGATCTCATTCACGCTTATATCCAATCCAAGAATTGCATCTTTGAGGCTCTGTCCTCTGCTGTCCCTTCTCACTGCAGCAGTGCTAGCTGCTCAGTGTGCAGAGCTTGTGGTGTGGAAACACAGTGCCAAGTGCATTATTGGGCAAAATTTGTTCCCAGGTCCAATGGACATTCTTTCTATTTGTGGATAGCCATCATGGCTCCTCTCCATCTTCCCTCCAGTATGAGCATTTCTAATTGCCTTGATCTTTTACAACCACTTTTCTATGCTTTGAATATTCCCCTCAAAACTCTCATTGGAAATGAATTGCCATTTTAGTAGTATAAGAGATGATTAGGCCATGTAGGCACTGTCCTCATGTTAATGATGCTGTCCATATCTCAGGAGTAGGCTCCCGATAAGAGGGGTGAATTCACCCCATTTCCTCTCTCTGTCTCACCCAAACATTTACTCTTTTACCAGGTAAGACACAGCACAGAGGCCCTGACCATGTTCTCAGATTTCCGGGCCTCCAGAATGGTGAGCCAAATCAACTCTTACTGTTTATAATTTAACCAGGCTGTGATATTTTATTTTAGCAACAGAAAATGGATTAATAAAATTTCAGTTATTTTAGGTAACTTCCATAGGGTCAACAGTTATTTGTCAATATTCGATTAATATTTGCCTCAAACTTGAACTCAGCTCTGGAGACCTGGTCCCCTAGACACATGTTCTGTAGAAGCTACCCACAAACTGGACAAGAAACAGTGTGATTGGAAAATATATTGTGTGCTTAAATTTTAAAAAGTATTACAGTAAAAGACACATTGTCATGAATCTCCCTTGAAATCATCTTTCTCACTTTGAATATATTTTCTCATCATTCTTGCCATTTTCTGAAGCAGCTCTGGAAGTCCTCTTTTGTGAGTGTCTTTAGTTAATCTGTCCTGGCTGTCTTGGTGACCTAAATCGATTCACATATTTCCATTTTACGGTCATTTTGACCTTAGAGAAGAGCCAGAAGTTGCGTGGTGCCAGATCTGGTGAATAAGGTGGATGAGGACTTATCACCATATTTTGGTGAGCCTGGTTTTCAGTTAGATGGCACACAGCAGCAACATTCTCTGTATTTTTTTTTATCACATCTCATAAAGACACCCATGAAAGAGGACTTCCATAACTGCTTTAGTTAGTGGCAAGAAGGAAGGGATAATTGTGTTCACAGTGGGGGGGCAGATTTTGAAGGGAATTCATGCCAGTGTGTCTTTGACCGTAACAATTCAGGGTCTGCTACAAGAGGATGATGCTATAAAATTTCTCAACTGTCTACTTTGCTTTTCTGTATCACTGGATTTTCCCTACCCTTTTAAATATTTCTTATTATTTTTAATTTCTATTGAACTGTCTGTCTGCTTCTGTAAGGATGATCAAGGTGACCCAACAGCCTCAGTAGATCTTAACAATCTTCACTGTGTGATACACAGATAGAAATTTGACTTCCTAGCTAAAACTTTCACTAACCAATGAGCCCAGCCTGGGACTTGCACATCAAGGTAGAATTGTAGAAAAGTCTTACCCTGTTTAATGAAATTTTACCTTCACAGCTATGCAGTCTATCAAAAAGAAATAAACCAGTATGTTTTAAAATTTTCAAACTAGGGATATTTGCCTTTTACAATATAATCATTCAGTGCCCTTTCAGAAACCTGGGTGGGGATATTTTGAACTAATAAAACTTTAAACATCACTTTAAACAGTTTAGAAGAATCTGTGATTATAGTAGCAGCTGAGCAGGGTATTGTTGCTTTTGTGTTTTCCAGAGACCCACATGTGTAAAAATATTTACTCTCATTTGAAGCCTTCTTTCCTGGCCTCCATGGAGTTCGGAAGTTTTGAGACACAAGTAAAGAAGACAAGTAAACCAATTCTACAGCAAGTCAAAAGCTGGCGATTCTGGAACCATCTTTGCCTCTATGGTGACAATTGAGGTGGTTAGCTAAGAAATTGTGGTGAATGAAATGGCAGTTAAACCATCTCACTTTTGTAATTCTCTCTCATTTCCGGGATCACACTATGTGGCAATCCTAACCCCTCTGAATGGGAATTGCTGCTACCTCTTGCATCCTTCTGTAATCCCTCTAAGTCATTGCTAACACCTTCCACTCCTCAAATCATTGTCATAATTATAAATCAATGTGAGTGGGAGAGCTGGATGAGATGTCCCCACATCATGAAATCCAAGAAGGAATGCCCCTCTGCAACCTCTGCCAATGCCAGCGTCTTCTTGTTGATCCCAGACATCCACCCTCCATCTCTCCCCTTTCTGCCAATACAGGAACTAACCCAATTGAAGCAGAAGGTACTTAGTGATTTTATCTATAACAAGCAACATAATGTGAACATTTAGAATGCACATCTAGTTTTCAGCATGTCAAATCTAGAACTTCTCACCATAACATTACAATAAATCAGAAGGCATAAAATCAGTGAAAAACAAATGTTGGGGGTAAAAATATTGAAAAAGTTTCTGAAGTTATGTTGAAACATTTTTTGCTTGGTCGGTTATCAACAGAAGCCTGCACGTCTTGAGTAACTTAACTAAAGCCAAACTGTACTTGTATAAAATATTACTGTTTCCTCTTTTGTGTGTTTGTGGCTTGTTGACCCTGTCCTCTGCTTTCTAGCTTTGAATTTCATGAAATCAATTCTCTCCTTCCATCTTTGTGCTTCTTTCTTGGGGATCCAGCCCTGGTTGCCCCCCTAGGTGGGAGAGAGGGAGGACATGGCTTGGTAGAATGTATTCTTAGGTAGTCGGGCCTCAAAGACATTTCCAGAGGCAGAGAACTTGAACTTTTAAAGGGGAGAGAAAGTGTAGAGAGGAAACCAGACCCTTGCCTCTATCCAGGCCCCAATTGTATTTTGCCCTTGTCATTTCTGAACAATGCCAGCATACCTCAGGCAAACCCTAGGAGCTATCTAAGAAGAATGAATAGGGATGGAAATTAGATATAGGGTAAAATAAATTGCGAAAGTGCTAACATTGGTTGCATGATTGTTATGTCCCAGGCATCGATTTACATTTTTATATGGATTGCTTTTTCCAGTGCCTATGGTGTGTACCAGTCTCTCTCCCATTCCTGGGATGCAACATCTGACATCCACAGTTTGAAGGAGGAGAGGTTTAATTTGGCTCATGTGTTGGGGTTTCAGTCTACAGTCAGCTAGCTCCAAAGCAGAAATGGCTTAGTGGGAGGATCTGTCAGAGAACAGCTGCTTATACCATGGCAACCAGGAAGCAGAGCCAAGGAGGAGCTGTTGAGGACCCGGGGAGGGAGATAGCCCTTCCACAAGTACACCCTCAGTGACCCCTGTTCCAACCAGGCCCCACCTTCTAAGGACACATTTAGCTACAAACTCACCAAAGGTCAATCCACTGAAGGGTTGAGCACCCTCATGATCAAATCACCTTCCAAAAGCTTCACCTCTGAACACGTGAAACTTTGAGGAAAAGTTCTACATCCAAACTGTAACACAGAGCAAGTGACCAAAAGAGAAAAAGAGAGAGCAGCACATAAGCCACAATGTCACATACTATTCCCTCTGCTGTATTCTATTGGTCCTACAGAATAACTGTGGCATTATGTGAGGGGAGGGGCAGAAGACTGCACAGGAGGTGAGGATTACTGGGGACCATCTTAAAAGCTGGCTGTTAAGCCACTCTTTCATCCTTGTAGGACTACTCATCTACTGTGAGTGGCAGGTAATTAGCCTTTATAACCATATATTTTCCTAGAAATTATTATGATACCTTAGGGTACATGTCGTATTTGGAGTCAATTTTATCCTGGTAAGGTGAGAAGATGTAATTTACCAAAGTAAGTCTCTTTATTCTTTCCCATACACCTCCTCTTTTCCAGACTGACAAAGTTAAGGAAGGAAGAAAACTGAACTGAGTCTCAGTAGGCTTAGAAAGCATGGATGGTTGATGAGATGGACGAGTGGATGGAATGTAAAATTTCAGGACAAAGAAAGAATCCATGCCTGTGGTAGCACCAGCATTGGAGAAGACAGAGAAACATTGGCAAAGTGGCAGTCCAGGGCCAAATCATGAAAGCTTTTGCATGTCACACTATAGGAAGTTATGTTGCAACCAAAAAGAGGCTTGAGGGTCTTAAGTAAGCTAGTGATTGCTGCATTTATGTCCTAAGACATACCTCTAATGTTCTAAGATATTGCCTCTGGCTGTGGCGGAAGAAAGCTTCAAGGAAGGTAAGGCTGGAACCCAGACTAGTGGGAAAGACCTGGCCCTGATAAGAATGAGGGGGTGCTTCTGGCAGGAGCAGAGCTTGCCATGATGGAGGCAGTGTGATGGAAGGGAAACTGATGAGGAGGAGAGCTAACAGAACTCAGTGACTGGGCCCCCCAGGGATATGGAAGAGAAAAATTTACCAGCTGCATGAACAAGGTGAAAATCTGGTTTCCTCAATTAGAAATTACGTTTCAGTGTTCTGAAAAAATTAGAGACAAAATGTGTGAGATACCTAGCACACAGCTTAGCATGGTAGGGACACAATCAATGATAGCTATAAATAAATATAAGGAAAGAAACCAAACAGTGAAAAAAAATAATGTACAGAACTTGCATATGCACACGCAGGCACATCTTAAGCAAAAACAAGCAAAAGTAAAGGAGTAAACATTAAAATTATACAGATTTACTTAAAAAAACTGATGTAATCCCTTGAATACATAAAAGGAATTTCTTTCCAGAAAAGTGCTTTGTTGACAAAGTCACAAATCCAAAGATTAAGGTCTAATAGGGAATAGTAAGTTGGAATAAAAATAATAAAAATGCCATTGGGTCTACAATGTGTATATGATGTCTGGAAATATACATGTACATGCATAATGCTATTGAAAACATTCAATTTGTAAAAAGTCTATATTTTTAGCCTCTATGGACACACATATATACATATATCCACACCAAATATATGTATATGTGCACACATTTTTAAATCACATTACAGAGGAATTTTAGAAGGCTTTGATTCTAAAAACAAACAAGAAATGATTATGTTAAAATGTTTCTCCAAGGGGCTGAGGCTGTAGCTCACTGCTAAAGCACTTGCCTAGCATAAACAATACCCTGGGTTCAATCCCCAATACTGCAAAAAGGGAAAATCCCCAATAAATATTTCTCCCAAATCAGCTCTTCATTTTAGAAAAGCCTATAGTAATGACACCAAAGTTGACTGGGAAAAATTCTCTTCCACTGATTTTAGTGATTTAGATTGTATTTCATTTTAAGTTTTTTAACTAGCTCTAACTGCTTTTATTTGTGTTATATTTTGTTATTGTTATTTTGTTTGTTTAATGCTGGCAATTGAACACGGGGCCTTGTGCATTGCTAAACTCATGCTCTACCACCAAGCTACATCCCCAGCCCCTGTAATGTGTTTTAGACTTTATTTTCCATTATTTTCATTTCTGTTTGTCTTGGGAAAATGTAAGCATATGAGTGATGTACCTCTGGGTTTTGCAAAACTTATCTCCATATTTTGGGACCCACTTTGTTGTGTCTACTCTTCTCTGCATGCACTCAGAGGGTGTAGACCAAAAGCTTTCTTTGATTATGAGCACTGGACTCTATCATACACAGAACTTTCAAATGCAAAGCTGGTGAAAGGCAGAATGCCTAGGAAAACCAGTGGTGGTGGATGCTTGCCATATTACAGTTTCAAAAGAAATTGCTGTTTTATGCTATATGTTAAGAATCTCTAGGAGAAAATCCTAGAGAATCCTAGCAGACTCTATCACCTACTGCTGTAAGTAAGTAGGGCTTCTGGAACTTGCTATCCTGGTTTTGTAAACTTGTTTTCTTAATATTTTTGCTTTGTCCTCCCTTTTTGAAATGAATCATCAAGAGTATAAAACATAACCAGCTGCTGAGGATTTAAGAACATGGGTTATGATATTATAACAAACTTCAAAACACAAAGAGACAAATTGTAGGTGTGTAGTTTCCTTTTGAGAGTTGGACCTGTTAAGCTTTTTTTCCTTCTTCTTGTCTCCAGTTTCTCTTCCTAATGCTAATATAATTATTTCCTAGGCCCAATCTAAGCATTTAGTTTTCTCAGTCTCTGCTTACCTGGAAGGAAAGCTGTCTGTTTTTCTTTCTCTGTGGTCTTCATTTCCCATCCAAAGCAACTCTTAGAAACTTCTAGACATCTTTGACAGCAAGGTCTTTCTGTTTTCCTGCATTAGAAATTACCCTAATTACCTTTATAAATAGGGTGATTTGTTCTCCTGAGGCAGTGGTGGTGAACCTATGGCCACATGCCACTGTGGGCTGTTATCATTGAAAGCTCTAAAAGGTTCACTATCACAGGAAATTCCATTTTATGTGTATTGCCCTTGTGGGATTATTGTCAACAGCAGTCTTTCTCAATCTCAAAAATATTTTGGCTTGCACAATAAATTATGTTACTTTATTTAGAAAGCTCCTTTCTTATTAGATTTCAAGCACTGATGCGGAGAGAAAGGTGTGAGATACTTAATGAGATTCTATTTCCTTGCAGAATAGAAGGATGAACAACAACTGCAGCAAAGTTACCAGTCCACACTTTGAGGGTAATATCATCTATTTTTTCTAGTGAGTAGTGGAAGGCTCAGAGAGGGCATGTGTCTTTCCCAATGAGGCCATATGGATGGTTTACAGGAATCAAGCCTTCCTTGCTTCCTAGATTCCTCCTCTATACCTTTACAGGATTTATCACCATACTAGCTGACTTGACCCCAAGCCAGATTTTTCTTTTTTGGGGCAATCGTATTTTTTCATTGTGCTACTCTCACTTCTGATTCTCCTCCAGTACAGGGGTCCCCGGTCCCGGGCTACAGACTCATACAGGCCTGTTAGGACAGGGCTGCACAGCAGGAAGTGAGCAGTGGGAGAACAATAGAAGCTTTATCTGTATTTACAGCCTCTCTCCATGCTCTCATCACCACCTGAGCTCTGCCTCCTGTCAGATTATTGGAGGCATTAGATTTTCATAGGAGTGTGAATGCTAATGTGAACTGCATATGTAAAGGATCTAGGTTGTATACTCCTTATGAAATCTAATGCCTGATGATCTGAGGTGGAGCTGAGGCAGTGATGCTAGTCCTGGGGAATGTAATTATTATGTATTATAATCACTACCAACAACAACAATGAAAGGAAACTAAAAAAAAAATCTTCCCCCACCCAGGTCAGTGAAAAAAATGGTTTTCTGGGATACAGGTCTCTGGTGCCAAAAAAGGTTGAGCACTGCTGCTTTAGCATCTGAAGATGATCACTGAGGTCTTCCTTTGCTGGGATTCATTTCTGTCCCATATGACGTGCAGCATTCAGTGATGTATACATAGAATGAGTTCTGGCTGAAGAGATCTGGAAAATGAGCACAGGGAAATCCTAGCAGGAAATGAGGTTGCCTACACTCAACTCAGCTCTTTGCTCATCAGCACCTCACCAAGCAAAGCCTACAAAGGGAATTTTGAAACCAGGCCCTCAGCAGCTTCAACAGCGGTAATTTGCAACAGTGATGGGAAAGGACCTGTAACAGGTGAGGCAAATATTAAATAGTAAGCAAGAGGGGCCGGGGATTTAGCTCAGTGGTTCTGCCGCCTGCCTT